CCAAATACGATAGACTGCCGTGTATCTAAAATGATTGGCACGGATTGCAATATTACCGAGACAGAAGAACACTGGCTAGTCAAAGTCAATTTTAAAGTTAATTTAAAAAATATATTAATTTTCCTACAAAGGGATAAGATAATTCAAGTCAGTAATGTGGTGTCATTATCACCATCATTATTATAGGAATAAAGAACTTGGAGTAGATGACAATTTAGGTCATTTCTACTGATAATAGCTTTTGGTAGTTGTAACTGTATCATAATGCTATACATTAAAATGAAATACTGTATGCAAAAATGATTTGAAAATTATAGCATTCTGCATAAAAGTACATTCAGACCATGTGATGTTCAGCTCTTCATTGATCAGTTATTTCAAACACTTGGTCAATTCAGTCTCTTAAAACGGTTTTACTTCATTTTTATAAAATTATCCAATGTGCTACTCTGTTGACTATTTTGAAAATATTGTTAGCATACTGCTGTAGCATTATTTGGGGGGTCAGAGCTGAGAGTCCGATGGGCAGAGCAGGAATGAGCTAAGCACCATTAGCCCACAGAGTTTATCTAGTTTGACAAACTAACCACAGGTGCTCCTTAACTTATAATGGGGTCGTGTTCTGATAAACCCATTGTTAATTTGAAAATACTGTCAAACCCTTGTAATTCAGGGGCAATCTGTACTATAGAATGGCTTGATATAATTGTGAAATTGCTGGTGACTCAAACAGAGTAGCACAGTCTTACTGCCTGGGAACAAAAGAGAACGCAGAGTAGGGAGAAGCATGGTCCACATGTGCGATGTGACTTATGTTTGGAAATCTGTCTTACTGCCGTATCGCTCAGAGCATCATTTAACTAAACAAACCATGGCGATCTTTAACTCAGATGGACATAAACTAACATGATGAAAGCTATCATTTATTAAGCACCCATTTTGTATTAGATATCTGTTTATGTGTTATTTATCAGTTTATTTAACAAACGTGTGCCTATAGTACGTGAGGCACTGTTCCTGGCATTGGATATATAGCAATGACTGAAAAAGATGAGTTTTTATTCTCATGGGGCTTACGATCTGGTAGAGCTGAGACTTTTTTTAAAAAGAAAATTATAATAATTTCTGATGTCATAAGTGTTATGAGGGAACAATATTTTAATGCTGTAGGATGACTGGGGAAGCTTGGATTAGGGAAATCAGAAAGTTACATTTGGAAC